AATTCTGGTCCTTTGCATTTCCCTTACTTTTTCTTTAGCTTAGTATCCCAGACTTGATTAAGTGTACGTCTTACCGGAGTCGCATAACTTGAGCCGATGCCGCTCCTATTGGCTCGTTATCCACAAGCTTTTATCCATGCTCTACATTGAGTGTAAAGATTCAGAAGCTGGATCGTACTATATATCGAATATCAAGGGGAAACCGCAAATAAATTGTTTGTTTTTTATTTGCTTTTGAGTGTGTTAGATATTGGATGCAGTATTAATTATAAATCTACCCGCCGCTTCCAACTGGGTTCGTTACACACATGCTTATTAGGTGGCAGCGCTCCAGGGGTATCGCGACACTTTTTTGCGCTACTTTTTCATTTCTGCTTTGTGCACAACCAAATTTCGAAATACATTATGAATAAATTTGAAAGTCTATTTTCCGTTTTCATAATTGGGTAAAAAGGGGTTTTTCCATTTTGCGTTACATGGTATCGTGAAGTCCTTGAAAATTCATTATTCAGGTGCTGCTATAATAGTTTTTCGATGTTTGCATCGCAGATTAGCAATTATTTCTACTTAGGTATACACTGATGGTAGACAAATCTTTTATTTTTATATGAAATAGGAAGATTCAGGCATATATCGTCATAAAAATTGTATTGTCGTCAAGGCTACGAAAACTGCGTTACAACTAACGATACCATGGTAAGATTTATCGTTTTTCCTATCTTTATCACAATTTCTGCTGATTTTCACTGTTTTGTTCGACTTTTATGGCAGAAATAGGTTTATAGTGAAAACATAAGGTGTCCTGAGTGTTGTAAATATTATGTATATGCTATAGATGATAATAACACATATTAAGATGTTAATATCACCTCCTACAGTTAGATATATTAGCCACCAGATAATTGTATTGCAGGAAATAAATCATAATCATGCGGTAGAGGTATAATTATGTGGAGATTCTACCAAAGACGAAGCTAAGATAGCATTACTACCTCTTGTGTAGATGTACACAAGTATTTGGCTGTACCAAAGCATGTCATTGATATATGGTTGTGACTTTTTTCTTTTTTTAAATTCTGAATTCACGGGACGACTACCTCTATTCTCAATAGCCGTGCAATTGTTTTGATGTTCTACCTACATTTCAATAAATATTTTTCAAACAGCTTACTTTTTTACTTACATGGGAAACTGTAGAAGTGTTGAGAATGTGTGTTTGAGTGTCAGTGAACTTTTGAATAAATGCACATTCCTTATAAATAATACATCACGTGTTTCTTCTTTTGCAGATAATTTCAAATAACAATGAATTAGCAATTGCATTGGATATGCAAAACAATCGATGCTTAAGCTTCTGCTCTAGTGTTGTACAATAATACGCTTTACCTTTTAAATAAAATTTTTCAAAAACATGCCGGTCTTTCACTGTATTGTAGATTTATTTTGGTCTGTTGTTGAAAATAAAGGTGAACATAGTAGACCTTTGGGGTTATGTCAATTGATGTAAAATAGGGAGTTCTGTGTGTATTTAGGCGAAAAGTAAACAATTCAGCAGACATTTAGGCGAAAAGTAAACAATTTTGCGGACAGTTAGGCGAAAATTCGGTAATTTGGGGGATATTTAGGCGAAAAGTGAGTAATTTATCCTTATTATTTCCTCTGGACAGGCGAAAAATGCGACATTCTGATGTGTTTTCCCCTTTCGCTACCAAAGCATTTACCCCTTTATTTTCCCTTTTTGGGTTGTCTGGGGAGCTACAATGTTTTGGCTGCCGGTATTATTGCAAAAATACCTAATATCAGAAATAAGTACTGATATAAAGCTGTTACGAGAAAGCACTGAAAAGTACGATTCGATAGTCAAGATATCTTGATCTAAGGTGACCAGATTGTGTGAGATCCTATGTGATGATCTTCGGAAATCAACCAAGGCCTGTCTAGCTTACGTGCTGATGCCGTAAATGACAATTACTCATAACTTACGTGGGACTAGAATAGAATATGCATCAAGAATTTCAGGTTACACAGGACGATTGAAAGTAAATTCACACAGTAGTCTTTATATATGTTCATCGTCTAAGTTTCTGAAGTGCAACCTGCCCAAAGAATTAAATAATACAATCCGTGTATGTTGTGACCCAGACTTTCCTAAGCAACGCAAGAGATAAAGGAAATAAGCGTGATTGACTATCCAAAGGAAGGGTGTGCTAAATGCACTTTCGATCTGTAATTGCATACTGGTTTCCGTTTTTATACTAGTTTCTGGTAAACATTTATACTGAAATAACTTTCCTGTCTATCTTATTTCCAGCTAGCTTCGCAAGCGTTCACAGACCTAACGAGAACAATTCCTGAGAATTAGAAGTTATTTATTAATGGATCATTTGTGCTAGATTCAAACTTTAATAAACGTTTACATTTATAACGCACCAGTCTCTTAATTACGGCAATTCTTATCTATCGTGACAGGTCGAAATCCGAACTACTAGTATGGTACACCATGTTCAAGGTAGCAGTATTTGGTAAACGGTATGTATAACTAATCGCGTGTGCGCCAAACTGGTAATTATTACACAAGAACGCGAAACAACATCCCTGTCTCACAGCCACATAAGACTGCACAGTACACTCCCTGCCGTTACGCTATAAGAATAAGTCAATGGCCATATAAATGAATTTATGTAAAACTAAAAAGATTACAATATTAGAACTTCTTGTTAGCAAGAAGCATAGCTATGGTCTGCATTAACAATGGATTCTGACGTTGTAGCTTCATCATTAGCACCGACTGAACTCATCAACTGTGCACATATGTCTTCCGATGCTTCGAGGCATGAACGGATGAGTTTACTTGCCATAGGTTCACTAAGAGCATGGATTGAGTGGTAGTTGCTAGTGAACTTCTCTAGCAGATCATCACTTCCTGTAGAGATTGAGATGTTGTCCAGCGCACGAAGAACCAGGTCCATTATGTATTTTCTTGTCCACCGGTTGCTATGTCGAAATAAGTCTACAAAACTTATAGAGATAAAGGAACACACATACCTCCGCGAATCAGATCTTTAGAATGTGCATACAAAATATGACCACAGGGCAGCATGTAGTCATTGAAACGCTCACAAGCACATCGTGCACGTGAAGTATCAACAACATACATCATACCCTTGTCGTAGCACCGGATGTATTCTCCTTCTATAAATTCGTGTCTCATTGTCCGAATACGTTTATAATTTACAGCTACAATTTTAACTGCAAAAGATGTGAACTCATTTAGAAGAGTTCGAAATGACATTGGAACCTGGAATTAATGATACATTTAACTATATTTCTTACCTGAAGAATAGGAAAACGTTGAAGATCCTTCACAGCGTCATAAGGACGCAAACGTAGATCAATGTCTGTTTTACTCCAAATTTTCCAGAACGTCAATAATAGGGAATCACCTCTTCTGAGACATTCTTTTAGGTGTTTATGAGCACTTTCAACACGGTTGTTTGTGTGGTTGCCCAGGCTTAATACATGTCGCCGGTAACAGCGAGCCCACATTGACTTCCTGGCAATCCAGTAATCTTTTATGTAATCATACGCCCGTGGAAAATGCGTTCTTAGATGTTCGTACTTTCGAGTAAATCTGAATATAATGCGCTATGAAAAGCGAAGCTCACATATCAGACCGTCTAGTCTTCACAAGCTGTTCCAAGCATTTGCGCACATCAGGATTTCGGAACTACAGAAAATAATTTGTACAGCTAACACATACCTTCCTGAAAAACGCTCCTAGGACATGGAATGAAGAAAGTATTATGTTAGAATGACTGTGCGTAGACTGCACAGCCGAAATTTCGGTCGCTGCCGAATCCATAATGAAAGTGCGTGTAGCATAAGTACCGCACATTATCTCTTTAAAACATTCCAATAGTTTTTCGATATCTCCGCGTCGTTCTTGACTGCAAAGAGCATACATAACAGTGTGCCCTTGCCCAAGATTATCAGTGACCACTAGCTGGAACAGTGGAAAACTTTCAGATAAATTTATTACTAATCGTAACTTACCCGACTTTATTGGTCTGATAAGTCGAATCAATACATATTACTTCCGGGAACGCGTGGTAAACAGCTATTTGCTCTCTGCGGCTGAAGCAAATCATAGACATGTTCCCATTTTCATAGAATACTTTAACTTCAGTATTTCCTTGAATGCGCTGTAAAATGTTATTGATATTTTTAGTGTCTAAACTCAATTAATTACAATGTGAGTTCAACAACCTGGGTACAACTGTGAACGCATTCTGGCGATATCGTCCTTGGTAAGTTGTTTATTGAACTTCAAAGAAACCAGATACCGTAAGCTACGAGTTGGTGTATTACTCAATAGAAACGTTCTTAAATACAAGCGTTCACTTGAGGTCAACTGTCGTTTCGATGGATCGACAGAAATATATCCTTCTGTGCAAGGATGGTTGTGTACGGTTTTAATAGAGGTGAGTTTCAACTCACCATTCAGTGCCCGGACCCAAAATCCTGATTTACAGTGGCAATATTTCGACCTGAAGGATAAATTCATTTGAAGTAAGGCATACGTAGATGACCGACGTCGTCTCCTTTGCCTAGGTTGTGTTGGCGAGTTAGAAGTTGTATGCTCTTCAGAAGAATGATTATTACTATCATCATCTACATCCTGAACGCAAGCATCTGACTCTGACGAACTGCGTTTACGTCCATATGTACAGACATATCTCACGAAAAAGTACTTTAGAGTTCGATCATCACTGTTCTTTTTGCATACTGACAAAACGTACTTAGTATGCGTATACTAAAAAAATAATTATTAACCACAGAGGTCATATTACCTTATGTACTTCTTTCAAACAGGTCTCAAAATTGTCCCAACTTGTAAATCTTCGAGATAACATAATATCGTTGAAGATTCGTCCTATATCATGCATCATCACGATGGAATCGTCTTCGTTACTTGAGGAATGAACGTTATCAGACATAGTGTGGCTGAACTCAATTCAAATCTAAAAATGTCTTGATTTGACCGCTTCTGAAAATTTTCACGAATTGTCGATGTGACGCACCAATCATTTTGCGACAGTTTGACCTTCAAGTGCTCGCAACCCCCATCAGTGGACGATACCCTAGGAGCGTTGCCTTATTAGGTTTTCGGTGAGCACTTTTATCAAGTTCTGTTTTTAAAACTTATGAAGACGATCTTGTCTTTCCTCCTGATTTCCCAGCTCCATATTTTCCCTCGTCATCATTATGATGGAATTGTTCAGTCATTTGAGTTTTAATTACTTTTGTTGAACATAAGAGTACTGTGTTGCAACGTATGCGTGTCATTAGTTTCCTTGTCGTATCTACACAGTTCTTACGTGTTTACAAATTCACAGACGTCAATACTGGCATTCTGAAACACCATTTTCGAGCTACCCATTCGGGATTTATATTGGTACAACTAGGGTGGGACTTCCCTGGCAGTAGTTGTGTGCACGCAGCCATGTTTGAGCATTTAGAGAAGGAGGGCTGACTCTTCACACTCGGTCCTACCAGGATGAGATAATTGATAATTTTATTTCAAATAGATATGATTTATGTATATTCTAATTTACTCTTTCGGCAAATTATTTTTCTCGTTATATTTAGATTCTTGCATTAGTGCGATGGTTTCCTACTGATTATGTTGGATAATGTAGATTGGTCTAAAAAGGATTCGTTTTGAAATTTTAAAGTACACTTTGTCGCTAAAACGTAAAAGAAAAAAATGATTGAAAGATGGAACGCAAATTCTCCTGATATTCCCATTGTTTTTGAAATAAATGAAACAGCAAATTGGATTAAAAGAAATAAGTTTACTAGAGTAATTAAATTACATGTTATCTAAGTGTTTTATAGGTTGGATTACAATTTCCAGATGAACTTTTGGGTATATCGATTGTTATATGTCGGCAGTTAAATTCTATTGTTACTGATTGTCTGTGTGTTATTCTTGGAGATAGTTCGTTTGCAAGGTGAGTGGGTTTTTATATATTTATTTACTTAGACACATAAACATCGGTACAAGGAGGTACCAACTAGATATGCGCTACCTAAATCATTCGATTTGTGTGAGGGCTGGAATACTTCCCGGGTGCATAAACCGAATCAGGTGGTTTTCTTAGGGGGCCACACCCCGAGCCTTCGACCTGAAGGTCTGATCTACAAGGCAGTGGAGCAACATCAGGAGATGCAGTCCCATGACAGCTGGTTCATATGCCATCCATTCCTTCAGGATACTGTAGTCCGTGTTCACCATTAGTTTGTAACGAGGGTTTCTCAATTTCACTAGGTGGACTTTCCCTATCCACCGACCCGGTTAAAGCGTTGGAAATTCGATTTTCTTCCTCTCAATTTCGTAGTCAACACCTGTGGTGTGAGAAGGTACTGAGCGGGACTTCTCTGGCAGTGGTGGATTCACTTCCATCTTCCTTTACAACCTCAGTTTTAATGTTACCTTATACTCTTTATTCTGTGAATATATTTCTTTGTGTATTGTATTATCTATGCTTAATGTTTTTACCACCATTTATACTGTTACTGTTACTTCTATGACCCTGTAATTAATTTGTATAAATTTATCACACTTCAGTTGTTGTGTTGATGAAATAGCTGGTCAACATATGAAAATTGATGCATTAATTCATTATGGTCGAGCATGTTTATCTATAACAACTGGTTGTTTGCCTATTTATTATGTATTTGGCAAATATTCACCTTATCAACTTAATAATGAAATCCAATCATTCAAACAAATTTCGCATCAGTTGATACAGAACATTTTTGCTTATTCATCAGAAACTATTACACCGTCAATTCTTCTCATTATGTATGATTTTCGTTTTAAAGATATTGCTCAATATATTTATAATGAATTAATATCAATGAGTAGTAATGGTTCAGGTTCATATAATCCTAAATTATTACCAAAATTAATATGGTCTGAGCCATACATTAATACATTAGATAATTCAGTAATAGAAGCCGACAGGAAAGATGACATGAATAACCATAAAAATCAATGGATTCGTTGTGGACGATTATTAATTCCTTATCAATTTGATTTGGATACTTTAAATAGTATCGATAATAATAATAATAAACATAGTTGGATGATGTTATATATTGGACATACAAAAGAAAGTGATACAGATTTATATTCAGTTTATCGTATTCTACTTTGTTTACCTGAAATTGATCCATCAAAAACAATTTTATTTGATCCAATTACTTGTGATTTAGATTTAACTGGTTTACAATTGAATAGATTATTAAAAAGAAGAACATATTTAATTGAGAAAGCAAAAGATGCACAATATATTGGAATCTTGGTAAGTTGTTAGTTAGTTCTTTTAAAGTTTATCTTTTAATGGTTGATATATGGACCAATGCTTTTGGGTCCCCAAATGCCCTCATACGGCCGAGGATGGGGAGAGTCAGCTCTCCCTCTCGAAATACTCTCACATGGCCACAAGCATACAATCACTGAGAGGAAAGTCGCCTCTGCGTTGTTGTTTACGAAATTAAGAGGACAAAAAGCACATGTCCGACGTTTTGACCGAGTCGGTGGATACGGAGCATCCACCTGATGTAGTTGGAAAACCCTCATTCCAAGCCACTAGTACACATGGGCTCCAGTATCCTGGAGGAACCAATGTAATATGGACCTATTGTTGGTCACCGGCTACCATAGGACTGCATCTCCTGATGTTGCTCCACTGCCTTGTGGATTAGTCGTTTAGATCAAAGGCTCGGGGTGTGGCTCCCTAAGAAAGCTAACTGCTTCGGTTTGGGCACCTTGGCAGTATCACAGCTCACACTCAAATCAAGTGACTTGTGTGGCGCATATGTATTGGGTGCCCCTTTGTACCAATAATGATGTGTTCAGATAAATTTTTAAAAAAAACTACTGCGTGAAGGTAGTTGATTGAACTTCCATGTCAGAGGCCGTATACACAATTGTATGACAGAATTTCAAGAGGTGGATCAATAGCCGAAATCATTGTACAATAATCATTGAAGTACCTTCAACATATAGAATTATTTTATGCATGTTAGTAGTTCGTTTTTTTCTACAAAAGATACTTGTGTGGCAACTTGGACCGATGCATATATGTGCCTGGTCCTACGTTGTAGCTGACTGACTGACTATATCCTTTGATGTTCTCTTAAATTTTGTTCTTTTTTTCCCTTTCTCTCACCCTCCCCCCCAAAAAAGGTTTGTACATTATCTATTAAACATTATCAACATATTATTGATCGTTTAAAATTATTATTAAAAAATGCAAAACGTTCATGTATCACATTAATTGTTGGTCGATTAAATCCAGAAAAATTAGCTAATTTACCTGAATTACAATTGTTAATTATAATAGCTTGTCCTGAGACAAGTTTATTAGATTCATATAATTTTCATATTCCTGTTATAACACCATATGAAATGGAATGTGCTTTACATTCATGTTATATAAATGATTATTCATTAAATGACGAACGTACATGGACAGCAGAGAAATTTTTCATAGATTTTCATGATTTATTACCAGGTAAGTTGAATATTGATTGTTTGTTTGTTTACTTTTTCATAAGTTACTTGCGTACTCATATGCTAAATATATTTATTTTATTTAAACACATAAACATTGGTACAAGGAGGCACCAAACAGATATGCACCACACAAGTCACTTGGTTTGTGTATGATCTCTGATACTGCCAGAGTGTTCAAACCGAAACAGGTGGTTATCTTAGGGGGGCCACACCCCGAGCCTTTGACTTAGAGGTCTAATCCACAAGTTAGTGGAGCGATGCCAGTAGATGCAGTTCCATGGTAGCTGGTAGCTGGTTCCATCAGAATCCTGGAGGCGATATGCACCATTGATTTGGAATGAGGGTTTTCCAACTCCATTATGTGGACTCTCCATATCCACCAACTCGGCGTAAGTGTCAGATTTTCGCCTTTCGTCCTCTCAATTTCGTAAACAACAGTAATACCTCGAGAAGGCGGTGAGTGGGACTTCCCTGTCAGTGGTTGTATGCATATGGCCATATGAGAGCATTTCTAGAGTGAGTGCTGACTTTTCCTACTCTCAGCCATAGCAGGGCATTTGGGAGCCATATGCTAAATCCAATTTATTTGATTAGCAAGTGATAATTTATGTTTAGGATACTACACTTTGTGGTGATGTTATAGTTTTACCTATTTGGAACTTGTTTAAACAATATCCTACATTCTAAATTCACTTAGTGTTGTTTACTTGTATCTTCTCATTGTTATTTAAGACTTCAATTGATCAGTCTCTTGTTGGATCCAGGAATCCTGAATTCCACTGCTAGCCACTATCCGTCTCTGCTTAGGATGCTTGTAAATTAAGGCAATATGCATAGTATGCACATATGCCAATAATAGACTGATCAATTGAAGTCCTAAATTACAATGGGAAGATTCAAGCAAACAATACCAAGTGAAATTAAACTTCACCACATTGCACAATCAAGTGGCTATCTGAACTCAATAGGTAAGTGAATAAAGCGATAGAGTTTTTAAGTGAACGGTCCTATGTTCGAGTCCCAGAGTGAACATCAACTCTGAGATGCAGGTACATCTGGCTGACGGGTCCAAAATAGGACGAAACGCGCGTCTTGGATTACACTGTTAGCCACTATCTATCTATGCTTACAAAGCTTGTGACCTAAAGCAATATCGAGGCAGTCTGTATAGGACTCACATATACCAACAAGAGACGGATCAATTACAGTCCTAAATAACAATGGGAAGATACAAGTAAAACAACAGAAATTGAATATCCTACATTGTTAAATTTGTTGTTCATCATGTACAGTAGAACTATGACATTATCATCGAAATAGCTCAATGGTTAATATCTTAAGCAACGAAGCTTCTTGATATAGGTTCATATTCTACTGAGAGAATCAATCCCCTCAAAATTATAGATACGCTTTGTTGAAGAGTGGTAATTAGCACGAAACCTAAAACAAACAAGGTTTCCTATTGACTAATTCCAACCGCCTAATATCTAAGCATAATGTACGTGATGTCAAGTCACTTTGATCAGTGGACACGTTTAAACTTAAGTAATTTGGTCAACATTAATTACTTCTCACTGATCAATTAATTGTAACTTATTCAGTGCATACTTTTTCTTTCATCTTTCAATGTATATGGAAATGTTAAAAATAATTTTTAATTTTCTTTAGGTGGTCAAGCTTATATACCTGTGGAGAATGTTATTCCACAAATAACTGAATCATTCGCTATGGTTTCATTAATTGATGGACATAGTCGTTTTATTCCAGAAAATAAACTACATCCTGAAGATAATTCTCAATCTTTACTTGTTCAATCATCAGGTGAATTAATTGACTATAATCAATGGAATTTATACGCTAATCGAGTTAATCGAACATGGTATGGTTTAGATCCGAAAATTGGTCAAACACCTATAGCACAAATAAAAGATGGTCGTGTTGGTTTACCAACACAATATACAGATGAAAAGAATGTTGAATGATCCGATTCATTATTATTATTATACCCTTTGATCTACTGATCTATGGACAATTTGATTTTGTACATAAAATTATGATATTTGGAATGTTTATTATGTTGAGATGATTTACTAAAATATTTATTTTGTTTGCTGCATGTTAGATAAGTTCTTGATGGGTGGAGAGTGGGGCTAATTTTTAATGCAAAATAATATTAGCTAGAGAGAACTATGCAGTGTATTAGGGAATGATGGTAAATTAGTTGATAAGGTTGTAAATCTACGTTGAATGAGATGGTCGAGTCACGTGTTGCATATGCCTGAATACCGATTACCACAACGCGCAATGCTGACTAGTGTTGGGTTTAGGGTTGGAAGAAAGTTTGGTGTGGCCAAACCAAGACGTGACATCAGTGCTTGAAGTCACTAACTTCTAGTCTTAACCATGTTGGTAGATACAGACTACTTGGTTGGTGTCCTCATGATTATCATAATCAATGGTTGGAGACTTGGTGACATGGGTCAGAACGACGTCGGTGTATACACTCTTTGTCTTCCCTTAAACTGTGAGATTAAAATCGCTTCATATCTTTCTTTCTACGAACTAATTCTTTCTTCCTGTACTATATCCTTATTACAATCTTTCTTTTATATATTACCACCATTGAATTAACTACTTTTATGGATCCGGTGTTCATCTTGTTGTGCTAATGAGGTGTGACAACTTAGATGGATGTATAAATGTGCCTGGTCCTGCGTTGTAGCTATGCAACACTGGACAGCTAGTCTATATTAGGTATTCCTTAGAAGTGCGCGCACTCATGTTACAATTCACATGGTCGGTTACTTAGCACGGTTCAGGTCTTTTGGCAAACACAGTCCCTTAAGATCATTAAATAGCATTTATGTTTATATGAAACTGTTGTCATTTATTCTCATAGTAGGATTCGTATTTCAAGTCTTCGGTGAATTACTACCTTACTTTCGAAACTACAGTGAAATGTAAGAAATATTCTCAAAGTTCATGTGTTTGGTCCGTTTTGTGTCTGTTGTTCGTAAATGACAGATAAGATCTATTTATGTACAATAAAAGCGAAATCAGCTTGTGTAATCCTGTGCCACGTTTGTTACTATCGTGATAGGTTTAAAGGATCGGCTTCTGGGTTTATGAAACTAAATCGTTCTTAGCTAAAAACGTTCGATGATTTTGTGTTCTTTCAACGTTACTTCAAAAGAATATCTTATATATTTGTTGACGACATCATACTAGTAATACTAAGGTTCACAAATATGTTTACGGAATCAGTGATAACAACTTATTTTTTTAATACAACTTTCGAACTCCAGCTTCTCTACCTTGGATATACTTTACATCTAACACACCATATAAATACTTGATCGTCACACAAATTGTAGTTTTCAGTAAAATACAATTTATGTTCACCTATATTGAAATGAACCATAAGATTCTAGTCTTAAATTGTACTCTCAATTATAAGTATTATCGTAGTCATACAAATTCTTTAATTCTACAGCTTAGTATAGATTGATTGAGTTAAATTTTAGAGATGGTTCCCAAATTTGCCTTGAGGATTACTAACCACTTGGTTTAAAATTAGATTATGAACTAGTGTTAAGGATTAATAGTCAAGATACGAAATTAGGGTGTTTTTTTAAAATCACAAACTGATATTATGCATAGTGCAAGAAACTTATGTAGGTGTAAAGATGACCATTTCTGTTCAATGCTTAATGAAAGTGCAATGTCCTATTCATTTACTGTGTTAGTGCTGCATATAAGAGTGTAATTGTTACTTGAAGTTTCATTTCAATTCTACTGTATGGGGCAGAAACCTGGGGAACTACGAAAGCCATCATCCAGAAAATACAGGTGTTTATTAACAGTGTCTACGCAAAATACTTCAGATCCGTTGGCCGGACACTATTAGCAACAACCTACTGTGGGAGAGAACAAACCAGATCGGAGTGGAGGAAGAAATCAGGAAGAAGCGCTAGAAGTGGATAGGACACACATTGAGGAAAGCACCCAACTGCGTCACAAGACAAGACCTCACATGGAATCCTGAAGGTCAAAGGAGAAGAGGAAGACCAAAGAACACATTACGCCGAGAAATGGAGACAGACATGAGAAGAATGAACAACAATTGTATAGGACCTGAAAGGAAGGCCCAGGACAGAGTGGGTTGGAGAATGCTGGTCGGTGGCCTATGGTCTATTAGGAATAACAGGCGTAAGTAAGTAAAGTTGAATATATATATGTATGTCTTCTATGAACACGGCATTGTAGCTCATATATATACCAGAAGTTTCATGGAAGACGTGGGTAAATTCGATCATGGAGTTAAAAATTAAGAAATCATTGGGTAATATTGACTGTCCTTATTTGTTTGAAAGTTTTACATCAAGACGTGGCCTTAGTCAACCATTCGAAGCCATGAAGCGCTAGACAACTTTTTTGTCGTAATATGAAACTTTTCACTAATGCGGGTTTACAAATATAACAATGATGGGAACCAGGACTCACGGAGGTTCGGTTTTGTATGCACGCTATTTAGGAAGAGACAGATTTCTAGAGCCTTCTATTCTCAGTGGTTATCTCACTAAAATCAGTTCATCATTTAAATCTGTGAAATACAAGTTAGATCGCCATTGAAGATCTGGATGCACATATTTGGATGAAACGGATGCCCAATACTACCGGATTTTTAATAGTAGTCTAACTTAGATCGGCCTATGATTTGAATGAAACTCAACAGTATCTAGAACGTCTTACTTACAAATTGTAGTACGATCACTGTGTAGTGAACAGAACACAGCTGGGGAAAATCGAATGTATTTGACACAAAATTACAGGACTCGTTAGTAAAACTTAACAATCAAATAGTAAATACGTAATCTGCAAAATGTCCATCAGTTGTCTCATAATGACTCAGACTTCATTGTTCTTGCATTTTCATACAACTTACGTCCTGTTCCAATTCTTTACTGTTCGATCATCTTATCTCTCTGCTACCAGACATTCTGTTCACGACTAACATCATCTACTACTTATGTCAATATAAGTAGCACACACCGCAACTGTACTAAGTTGTTTAATACATTGGTACTCCTATTTTGGTAATCACTAGTTAATATTGATTGGCAGACAATCATGAATCTATTTTTTTATTTCTCATCATTAGTAATGTCTATTTTCAATCTTAATGCTCTTACTCATGTTCGAATTCATTTCCTTCTGTTAAGAATTAGATTAGCCAACTGGGAAGGATTGTCCAGGACAGAGTTGAATAGAGAATGCTGGTGAGCGACCTATACTCCTCCATAAAGGGTAACAGGCGTAAGTAACTATACAGTAATATATATTGGTTAGTAATTAATAGCCAATAAGTGTTAAGATAAGAATTGATTAGTAAATGACGGATTGTAGGTAAGTGTTAGATTAGAAAATAACCACCTTATGGTTTTTTTACTATAATGTACTATATATCTTTCTCATAAGTGAATTTCATATATGTAAACGGGGAACAATCAACAGGCTTCTCCAACACGTATTAATAACCAATCAAAGTCGAATTCTACAACGATATCCTTTTACAAACTATATGAAATATACATGTTCGTCTTTGGGGAGGGGGGGGGTGAAGTACTCATTTACTTACCCCCACCCCACCCCACTCCCCTTCACCCCTGTCCATGAGTACTACTATATCCATAACATGGAATGATTTGAATTATTGATCCATGTGTACTTTGATTGAAATCAGTAGTGTATAGGATAGAGTAAATGATTGCATATAACAGTGTAATGACAATGTCTTATTCATATTCTAATTATCATAAGATTATAATCAATTTTACTTCTTACATAATCATCCAATATTTTGTTTAAAACGTATCTTATTCAATGTTCACTGAAGAAGAAATCGTTGCTTATTCTTATTTACCATTATGGGCATGGTGTTATTTATGTATAACTGGTATAATATTTCTTTGTACATTATGTACATTATGTTATTTACAAAAATGGTTATGCTTTAAAATAATACTGGAGAAACGTTGGTGTGTTAACAATTCAATTGGTAAGTCTCATTATCGGTGAATATGAATTCAATTGATGTTGTTTTATTTGTATCTTTCTAACATTGTAATTGATCAGTCTCTTGTTGATATATATATATATGCGGATGGTCTTGAGATTTCCTTAGGTTACAAACATTCTAAGCAAAGATGTATAGTGGTTAACAGTGGAATCTAGGATGTGTGTTTCGTTCTATTTGAGACTTGTCAGCTGTATGTACCTGCAATTCAGAGTTAATGTTCACTCTGGAACTCGAACCCGGCACCGTTGGCTTCAAACGTCATCATGTTATCCACTTACCTACTGAGTCTAGATAGCCACTAGCTTATATTAGTGATGTGAAGTTGAATTCATTGTTGTATTGGTTGTTTAAATTTTCTCATTGATGTTTAGGATTGCAATTGGTAATTGGTTCATACTCCATTGGTTCCCTCAGGATCCTGGAGTACATGTGCACCATTGGTTTGGAATGATGGGTTTCCAACTCCCTTAGATGGATCTTCCATATTCACCAACTTCGTTAAAGCACCAAACATTCGCTTTTCATCCTCTCAATTTCGTAAACAACAGTAATGCCTCGAGAAAGCAATGATAAGGACTTCTTATGCAGTAGCTGTATACGCGTATACGTATGAGAGTATTTGGAGAGGGAGAGTTGACTCTCCTCACTCTCAGTCGTACCAGGGCATTTGAGGGCGATAGTCAAATCACTTAATGTTTTAATTTTTTCAGTATATTTCAAGTACCTTATGAAGACTCGTACAATATGTAGATTACCGGTTATCAAATTAACTTTCTAACCAAGTTCTCATTGCATATATCTATTTATATTCATTATTAAATTCTCCTGGAATATACTAATCATTTCACAAATTTAATAAAAATAATCATACTACTTATAGTAGACTTAATTTAAATACAATTTAATAAAACATGGCGACCTCATTTCTTCTAATGAATTTGAAGCAATTCAATGATCTTTCCTAAGTTATGAGATGAACATTAATTCATATGTTACTTTAAGTGTTATTATATTAATGAGATAGAATATATAAGATTGACTATATAGTTTACATAGAATAGATGAAAACACCGCGTGTTTCATTCAATATAAGCCTTGTCAGCTGAATGTAATTGGATCCCAGAGATGAAGTTCACTTCGATATTAAAAACCAGTACGCACCACGAAAAACGTCGATATATTAATGTTCACTCTGTTACTGACTTCAAAAATAACATGAACTGTGGAATACAGATGAACTCAGCTAATCATTCCAAAACAAGTTAAAACATACATACTGAATTCTAGCGCTAGACAAATTCCATCTTCTAAGTGTAAACTTGTTTCATAATGGCTATATCTAGGCATTAAATAGAGAATAAACATATACCAACAAAGAGTGATCAATTTATTGTATTTTATCTTAACACATAGATATTGGTACAAGGAGGCACCAAATACATATGCGCCACACAAATCTCATTCGATATATGTGAGGGCTGTGATACTGCCCGGGTGCCCAAACCGAACCACGTTGTTTTCTTAGGGGACCACACCCCGAGCATTCGACCTGAAGGTCTGATCCACAAGGCAGTGGAACATCGTAAGCAGATGCAGTCCCATGGAAGCCGGTGACCAACAATTGGTTCATACTCCATTTGTTCCTTCAGGATACTGGAGCCAGCCCATGTACACCATTGGTTCGGAATCCGGTTAAAGCGTCGGACATTCGCTTTTCGTCCTCTCGTTTTCGTAAACAACACCACCGCCACGAGAAGGCAGTGAGTAGGACTTCACTGGCAGAGGCTATATACGCGTGGCCATGTGAGAGCATTTGGAGAGGTAGAGCGGACTCTCCTCACTCTCGGCCGTACCAGGGCATTTGGGGGCTAGTGATCAAAAGTCAATCGAAATATCCATAATTAGATGAACTAAATCTTTACAAATTCAATTATGACTATTTAGTTATATGAAGAAATCAGGTAGAGTTGAAGACATTGAGGAAATACATGGATTTGAAAACAAACTATGTAATTGTAATTAAATTGGTGAATAATCAACAGTAAATCAAACCGATTTTGTAGACGGCAACATTATAATTTATGAATGAACCAATCAAATTTAAGATAATAGGTCTTGGTTTATGGCTTGAAATCCATTCATCATTCTTTTGTTGTTGGCGTCGGTGTATACACTCCCTGTCTTCCCTTAAACTAAGAGATTAAAATCGCTTCATATCTTTCTTTCTACGAACCAATTCTTTCTTCTTTTATTATATCTCTATATGCAATCTTTCTCTTACATATTACTACCTTTGACCTAACCACTGCTATGAATCCGGTGTTCATCTCGTTGTGCTGATGCGGTATGGCAACCTGGACCGATGCACATATGTACCTGGTCCTACGTTGTAGCTGACTGACTGACTTTTGTTGAAATAGAGATTTAACATTATAGCTAATGTCAGTTCGTGATGAAACACCTTAGATCTAATTCCTTATCTTAATCATCAATTGTAAATCATAATTCTAATTCTTCACACAGATTTGTGACCTTTTTCTAGTTCTAGTGAGTAGTTGAACATTCTCAAGGTTACTTGAGCTTCGTTCAAAGGTCATCCATAAATTATAGTCACATTATGGTTTATTCATTTGAGCTAGAAAGTAGGTTTAAATGTTTCAATAGTATGATACTAAGAATAGCTGAAATAAAAATCTAACGTCAATCCATAAAGATATTGACTATTGAATTAGGTTATGTTGTTAGGTTCACATTATCTGCTATAGTAATAATTTTAATAATTGAAATTCATAAGTCAATTGAAGTGATACAACTATGGAAAACCTGGAAGCACTGGACAGCCGTTTCATCCTAGTATAGGACTATTCAGTAGTGCAAATCCATGATCCCGCATCACGGCACTCAAACCCAGGACCCATAGGTCTGATGCGCGAACTCTTAACCTTTAAACCAATCATCTTTCCTGCATTCAACCGTGTTAATGTCTAAGTTCAACCAATCCACGAAATTGAGCCACCATCCACCATTGTCTTCAGTGAGTTACCATCTCACAACAAACACGGTTGAACTCTACTGTTCGCTGCTTCTCACTAGAACTGCAGGAAATACCTCTTGAAGCCAGTCCCTAGTGAGCATAGATTGATTAATATCCGAAGGTGTTTTTGTGGATATTATAATAATTCAATAGTTGAAATTCACGATTTAAATTGAAACTAGACCACTATGAAAAACCTGGAAGCACTGGACGGCCGTTACATCCTAGTATCGGACTCCTCTGCAATGTGTATCCACGATCCCGCTGCGTGAGTTTCGAATTCAGGACTTATTAGTCTCATGCGCGAGCGTTAAACCTTAAATTCATTTATTCTATCTTAAAATACTGTATTCATAACTAAGTTTAAATAATACAAAGGAAACAAACTAAAATATTTTTAATATAATGAGTATTATAATAGGTATGAATATGTCAGTATTGGGCTACTTTTAATCAAAGTCATCCTGTATAACGCATCACTGTACTTACTTACCTACTCCTGTAACTCCTCGTGAAGGAGCGTAGGCCGCTCACCAGCATTCTCCTGGGCAATCCTTTCCAGTTGTTGTTATTCATCCTTTCCATATCTACTTCCAATTCTCGACGCAGTGTGTTCTTCGGCCTTTCATTTTAGTGTTTCCCTTTAGGATTACAAGTTAGGGCTTGCCTAGTGATGAAGTTTGATAATTTCCGTAATACTGTATTTATTTATCTATCTAAAAAAATTATAATTTGTGATATGAAGTTGTGGGGTTGAAACTGAATGTGCTACGTACTATCCGCATAACAGCGATGCTGCCTTCCCACAATGAGGGTTGGAGTTAGAAAAGGTTCACTCTAAAAATGCACAACTCACATTATCTCACCGATATCCGTCTCCGGTGGTAAGGTCTCAACAAGTATGGAGATAACACAAAAATTACTCACAAAATGATCTTGTGTGACCGAATTAAACTAGTTGTCCCTTGAGCACTGCACTCACGCTCTCAGGCCACTAAGACCATCTTTAAACCAATTTCGTTTTCAGGTACCTCCAGAACAACCCTCTCACAGTGTGGGCAACCGGGAAATGATAACCGCCCTCATACGTGTAACAGCACTGAAGACCACTGAATTCATAATCAATCTCCCTCTTCAATTCCTATTATTCCTTTTACACCAACTTTCAATCATAAACTTCCTCATTTGGCTTTCACCTCAAGTGTTGCCATAGCCAACGATATAAATATATATATGTGACCATCAGAAAATCAGTTCATTTCTTAGTCAATAGTATGCATTTGTCCTACAGGTAGTTTCTGTCATCGAGTAACCTTCTCATTTGGCTACGGCAAGACTATAATTTATGAACGAACCAATCAGATTTAGAATAATAGATTTTGAATTTTGGAGCGAAATTCATTTATCCATTTGGCTAAATAGCATTCTGGCAGTTTAACTGATATCAGTTTATGATGAAAACCATGAATCCAATTCCTAACCGTAAACGTCAACTATCAATCATAATTCTAATTTCTTATATACTGGTTTAGAACTCTCATTTAATCCTATTTAATAGGTGGACATTCTCAAGGTCAGTTTGGTGACACTCAAAGGTCATTCAACAACAATGATAGTCTCATTGTAAAATGGAAAATGTTTCACCATGGACATTGATCAATAACAAAAAGATCATATTTGAATGTCACCTGATTAATACACATGGTTGACTGTTCAATATCAATATTCTTAATCAGTTAAACAAATATATTCAATCAGAATGGGTTTTGTGGAGATTTCTAGTAATTCCACTGATTGAAATCATGAGTCAATTGAAGCTAGACCACCATGGAAAACCTGGAAGCACTGGACGGCTGTTTCGTCCTAGTATGGGACTCCTCAGCAGTGCGCATCCATGATCCCACTCCCCGCGAGATTCGAACCCAAGACCTATAAGTCCAGTTAT